TGGGTTTTAAAAACAAACGATCAAACTGACGTTTGTCAGAAAACAAGCAGACCCAATCTTGATACCTGATCCAGGTTGGAACTGAATAATAAACGAATTCGCTATTAGTTGCACATGGACACTGAAAGTAAAAGTTGATGAGGTGATAATTATCGCTACACTAATTTTAGTTTTGAAATTTACCTACAACATAGCGAATGCTCTTTCTGATTCTAGTAGCATTTTCTAAATCGGTAGACTTGCAATCCAGAAAGGAAGGGCTCGGAATTGCTCACCCTGGAAGTATGATTGCTATTGTTAGAGAGATTTCCAATTGTTTTGTTCTAGAGACGGCTGCGTTGACCGCGTTGACGGAGAATGATAACAATAATTCTGCGAGAAAAAGGAGGACACGTCTTGCATTTTGTATTTTGTTTTGTTTTGTGTATCAATTCGACGGGATGACAAGAAAATGACATTTGATGCCAAAAAATACCGACCAGCTCTATCATAGCCTGGTTGCCAGCCACTGCTTTTCAGATTTTTATCAAGTACACAACATGATATGAGCTATATCATGAACTATTCGTGATATAGGTTGACAGATCGTTTGTATGGGATATCACGTAATATAGAACGTGATATAGCTGGTATATCACGAATCGCTCTATATCACGTGATATTGAGTGTAATGAGAACGGGGTATAAGATCCATATATTATAGCGCCCGTCATAAGTAACATAAAAGTAAAGCGCCTCTAGCGGCGTAGTTCCCAATTAAACCTGAATCCAATGACACAAGCTTGTTGGTGTATCCCAGTACAACAACTTTGTCCAAGACAGTATAGCTTTATATATTGAAATAAAAGAGATAATCCACCACAGCCCCCATAAGTGAAAATCCCATAAGCTGTGGGTATCCTTATTAACGGTTCCTTATTCACGCCCCCGTTACCCCGTCAATAAGGAAACCTGACTGTACTCATATCCGTCAAAAGGACGCCTACTAAAAATTGAGCAAAGAAAGTTGCAACTGACAAGATGACAAATGAACAACACGAAATTGCACATTTCAGGCATAACATTTGATAACGGCACAAAAGCATTTGTAAACAAACATGCTAAGGCCCTTTACACGCGAACCAAAGTACGCCCACGCAAACTAATACCAACAATCAATACGAAACTAACGATTTTAAATTGGCTCACCACTTTAGTAGCCTATTGGTCCCAAGCAAACGATTAACGTACCCTATTCTAGTTGAAATTCTATTACTACACTATGTTTGTTTTGATTCGCTATGAAAGTTTGACAGGTAACATCAGGGGTGTGTGGATTCAAGCAGAACATGCAGGGGTGAGTGAAATAGCTTGGGACTGCTTGGGACCGTTGTTCTGGTACTGAGTGAACCAAAAATAATAATGATTTTCTTCGGGACCCAGTGGTCTTAGAGTTACCTCTATGCTAATACCACTTTCGGAAAGTTAATAGATGCCCCTATCTGATGATGTTGTTGGTTTGCGTGGGCATACTTTGGTTCGCGTGTAAAGGGCCTCAGAAAGTTTGTTTACAAATGCTCTTGTGCCGTTATCAAATGTTATGCCTGATTTACTTATAGGGTTTTGCCTAAAGCGAACCCAACACGTATCAATATATTGACGCGAAGGGGAATTATTGATAATAATATTGATGATACATAAATATTGTTAATACCGAAGTATTGACGTCAATATTGAATGTATTGACAATACGATTATTGTCAATAAAAGCAATCGTGTAGGGTCCACTTAAGAGAAGAGGTGACAATACGGGGGCGAAAATGAACCACTTTTCTGTCAAACGTGAACCAGCTCCTGATTGGCCGATTTCATGTGCGTAAGATAGAGATAGAGATAGATAAAGATAGAGATAGAGATAGAGATAGAAATAAAAGAGGAAGAAGCCAATTGTTACCTCTTTCTCTTAGGGTATTCCTATATAGAGATTTTCACTTCCTGTTGTATTTGTGCGATATGTGAAAGCGTGTTAGTGAATATCCGAGGAAAATACATAACAGATCGATGCCAAACTCATTTTGACAGATCTACTTTCATAAATTTTTAAGTTAGCCAGAGGAAAATAATAAACAACTTTACACGGCGTTGCTCCCGCTAGTGTGCGTGCGTTAAACGTCACTAATCTCTATAGGAGTGAACAGTTGCACGACAGTGGACATCATCATTTCTGTAATAGCTGATCTGAAAACTTGGTGTCGCATGACCAGTTTTGGTTTTGCTTTGATTCGCAACTAGACTTCAGTATTCTGACGAAAAAATCGAACGGAATTCTTCGTCATCTTCCAATATCTTCATCTTTTTCTCTGTATCTTCAAGTCTCTCGCTAAAGCTGGATAAAACCATCAACCACAATTGTGCAAATTAAGTCGCCATAAAGATAAATCTTCCAAACACGAAGTGTGATCTTCGTATCGAATTGAGCGCCGAAAGAAATCCCCAATTCTCTCAAATTGAGCTCTTTCGCTGTTATATATTTCTTTTTCGCAATCGTACACCCATTAATAATCAGCGTAAATTCCATAAAGCATTTCGTGGGGCCTGTCTCTTGGCGGCTTGGCGAAAATGCACATCTGCGCCGGACGCGCCTACACGCCAGTGGACGATCGGACGGACGGACGGACGGATGGAGGAGATTTATGTCGCTTTGTGGCCGCAGCCGGAGCCAATTGCAGCAGCCCGAAACCGATCTCGTTGTTGTGATATCTCTATTATTATGAGTTTTTAATTCCAGCGAAAAATAACGCTCGCTTGCTCCCTTTCTGGGTTCGAGTCCCACTCGGGCACGCCGGGTGGCCCGCAAGCTGAAATATTTTTCCTAATTATATTTATTGCTTCTGATTGTTATTGCGCGGCTTAAGGCAGTCAGGAGGCGGAATTAAGCCGAAAATTTGTTGCACTTTCCAACCGACGATGGATTGCCGCCGTATTTTTCGGGATAGAAAACGACGCAAAACGCCGCAGATAAAGTAAGGTCAGCATAAGAATGCCAGCGCCAGATCGAAATTATTATTAATGTTGATTGTTCTGATTATGGTTGGAAGCATTTGCTGCTGAAGGGGCGTTGAAGAGAGATCAGTCTTCTGATGGAGCTCATTTGCTCAGAATGATGAATTTAAGCATGCGACAAACAACGAAACGATGCAAAAAATCTAGGCCAAATGTAGAGCTGCGCTCAAAAAAGAAGGCGAGCTCAACTGAACTGACACAAGAAACCCTCGCCCGCGACAGTAATTTATCGCTGCCCGGGCGTCTTGATGTCCCTCTCTGGGGGCAGTAAAAGCGCGTAAAAGGCGCGTGCAATCTGCTGACTTGGTTGGGTTGGTGGAGGCGGTGCCGTATAGTCGTACAAACGATCGTAGTTGGCGGCGGCGGCAGCGGCGGTAGACGCCACGCCGGCCGGTAGCCATGGTGCAATAATGGCTATAATTTTAAGACTGAAAAAAGGTGTATAACGCCATATTCACACACCATGTGATATTGAAAATGCATAAAAATCGATAACGGGTGGCGTCTGCGGGCGGAAGGGCGTTGATGGCACGCTCAGTGGTGTCGAATTGGCCGAAACAAGGAAGGGGCAATGGTTGTTTTTACCGGGATTGATTAAAAACCGTATAGGATTTCCAGTGAGTTCTGGAATTCTTAGAACATTTAAGCCGCTGGGATGCCAAATTCGATTCTCGGTGGGATGCAATTTTTGGATTGTAAAGCTGTTCTACTTCCCTAGTACTTTTTGAGGATTATTCCCAAAAGAAAATTTGACAGCTATAGGGAGGTGTCTTTTGCTAAATTTTGAGATCATAGTGAGGTGTCGTCATATTTAAAAATCATCAATAATTACTTTACCTAATCATGTTTGTATTACTTCATGCGCGAAGTTGACGATTTACATAGTTGGAGATGCTTAAAGTTAAATATCAGACTTAAAGGGGTTATTTTATACGATAGATGAGGAGGCAGTTTGGAAATTGTGTAGAGTAAGGCAGTTTGGAAATTGTGTATAGAGAGTAGAAAGTGAGCAAAGGTCAATTTTGAGGCAGGTACGAATCGGGTTGATCATCTCCTTACCATCTTTGGTATCGTCACCATCTTCAAGTAAAATTTTCCTGAGTGTCCGTCTTCTTTGGCTATCCGTTTCCTCGTAATATTTATTTCTTATTGCCAACTCATAAACTAACTCTTCCTCGCTTAAATCATCCACATTAATTCTTTCTGCGCAAAATTTTGCTGAAGCAATAATACTTATAAATTGGTTTTATTTTTGTTTCAGAAAATTGGTACCATTAAAAAAAGTTCAAAAATATAGCAGAATAATGAAAAAAATAGTAATATATGCAAATTAAATCATAAACCTAACCACCGAAAATATTTCTGGGTAAGCTATTGTTCGGATACCAAACCAAAATTTTTGTAGCAGCCTCTTTTTTTTTTGTGGCAGCTAAAACTGTAATATTAAGATTTTATTAGAAAATTAAATCCGATAAATTTGATTCCGAACTTACAAGAAGTGGTCTAATTCTACTTTTGTGCGCTACACAACCGTTTCCTCGTTCTAGCTCTTCCTTCTATTTACCACGAATTCTCCCGTTCAAATCGTCGCTAGCTTTCCTATACGCCTGTTCCACTAATTAATTTCCTTCTATGTTCGGGACGCCGAAGGGGAACCAGATGCACAGTATAGACGAACTTTATGATCCGAAATATTCCTTGAATTCCTGTATAATTTCACTTTATCTGCTAACAATTTCTATCTGCTAACAATGTCCATTTATAAATTGTGTTTGGTTTGTTTTGGTTTTGTTTTTCTCTTCCCTTTCTTCACTTCTGACAACGGTACGAAACGGCAATAACATTAGGTACGCCAACCGCAGCTACGCACACCGTTGTGTTGGGTTTGCTGCCCTGCGGTGTTGACATACCCCAGCCCGTAACATCCGGTAGTTCCTCCGGAAATCCCGGATTTACTTTCAGACCTCCATCACCGCTAAGTTCGCTACAGCACGCCGGTAGACTCCTCTAGCCGTCCGCACTATCGCTTGCCTCACTCTTCCGTCTGGTCGGAGTATCTCTTCCACGATCCCTCGGATCCAGCTTTTCCGGGTTTTTCCATCCACTATGAAGACCAGGTCGTTCACCTGTAGCGGCTTCTGCTCCTCGAACCACTTCGTTCGTCTGTTGATTGTCGGCAAGTATTCCTTGCACCATCTTTCAAACATTCGGTTAGCCAGGTATTGAGAACGCTTGTAAGTATCTCGTAGAGCCTCCGCAATGTCCACTGGCTGGACCACCAAATCCGCACTTGTCACCGACCCACGAAGGAAATGGTTCGGGGTAATCGCTTCTTCCTCAGCTGATTCCTGCGGTATGTACGTTAGCGGCCGGGCGTTAATCATGTCCTCTGCTTCAGCTAGTGTTGTGTGCAGAACCTCGTCGGACAATGTTCGCCCATCGTCCAGCGCCTTCATCGCCTCCTTTACCGACCTCACCATCCGCTCCCAGATACCGCCCATGTGCGGTGCAGCCGGTGGATTGAAGTGCCACGCGGTATTATCGTTCGTTATGCTGGTCGCACAGTCGCTGTTGATCTTCTTCAACTCGTTATCGGCACCTACAAAACACGTCGCGTTGTCCGAGAAAATTTCCTGTGGTACGCCTCGCTTACAGCTGAACCTTCGAAGGGCCATCAAGCAGGATTGCGTTGAGAGACTACGCACCACTTCTAGGTGTACCGCTCGTACAGCCAAACAAGTGAACACCGCGACCCATCGTTTCTCCTTTCTTCGTCCCAAAGTCACTTCTATCGGACCTAGATAGTCGATACCCACTGAGTTGAACGGTCGCAGATAGGGTGTGACTCGCTGTATCGGAAGCGGTGCCATCATAGGAACATGCGGCTGACAGCGATGGACTTTACACCACACGCAATTGCTCATCACCTGACGGATTGCAGCTCGGGTGTTCGGAATCCAGAACCTTTGGCGAAGCTCGTTCATCACCGTCTCTCGATTGGCGTGTCCATACTTCTCGTGGTAGAACTGGATCAGCTTCTCCGTCGTCACGTGCTTTCTTGGCAGAATTATTGGACACCTTTTGTCGAAAGGCATGTCGACGGACATATCCATTCTACCACCCAACCGCAGCACACCTTCTTTGTCCAGAATCGGAGTCAATTTGTACAGGCAACTGCTCTTCTTCACCGTTTCCATTACTACATCTGGTTGTTGTTCCAGATTCTTGGTGAGGATGCTCATCTCATCTGGGAATCCTTCGAACTGTGCTTGCTTCCACAGGATGATCTGCGCAGTTCGAAACTCATCTCTCTCCAGCGGACGTTGCATCGATTGCATCGGTACCAGGATTTGATGTTGCTGGTTATCTGTTGCCTTCAAGGTGACTATCGGCAGCCCTGCTACCTTGCGTTTGCAATTGTCGATGAACCTGACCGCACACGCCATCACCCTTTGCAGCGTTGTCCATCTCGAGCATCGGTCTGCTTCAACCACGCCATGGAATGTCACGTGGCCCCTGGCTTCCTCGTACGTCTCTTCGATCGTCACCTCCATAGTCGGCCACTGGTCTTTGGGCTGGTGCAGGAACGGTGCACCCGTGAACCATACCCCATCGCTTTCCAGATCGTTACCTCGATGCCATTTCGTCAGGACGTCCGCCATATTCTGCTTCGTTGGAACCCATCGCCAATCCGTCGCTCGTGTCAACTCCAGTATTTCTCCGATCCTGAACGCAACAAACTGTTTGTATTTATGTTGGTCAGACCGGATCCAACTCCAAACCGTTCGTGAATCTGTCCACAGTATGCATCGATCGATTTTCAGTGAATGCGTAGCGATCATCGTTTGACTCATCCGCGCTCCAAGTACAGCCGCCATCAACTCCAGTCGCGGGATTGACTGGCGCTTCAACGGTGCCACTTTCGATCGAGACATAGCTAGAATACACCGCACAGCTCCGTCGATGACTACTCGCAGATACGCAACACAGCCGTATGCGTGTTCACTGGCATCCGTGAAGATGTGAATTTCAATTGACTCAACCGCAGACGACAAGGAATCTCCAAGATAGCAACGTGGAATCCTAATGTTCTCGACTTCCGGCAGTACAGCAATCCAGCGCTTCCACATTTCCCAGCAATCGTCGCTAATCGCGTCGTCCCAATCGCAGCCACTACGCCATAAGTGCTGCACGATGATCTTTCCGTGGATCGTGAACGGAGAAAGTAAACCAAGCGGATCGAAGAAGCCCATGGCGCAGCTTAACACCGCACGTTTCGTTGGCCGTTTGTCTCCGCATATGTACGGAAGATGCTCTTGGCGATGTTGGGTGGAGAAAGATAATTCATCACGATCCGGATCCCAGATCATACCTAGCACGCGTTCGTGTGACGTTACTTTGTCTTCGGTGATGTGGACGGCTGAAACCGGTTTTCTGCTCACCGAGGCTCTGGAGAACTTCCGGCGAATTCGAAACCCAGTTCCTAATCTCGAAGCCTCCCTTCTGGTGAATGAACCTGACTTGCTCCGTTCGCTCGATCGCCTCGTCTACGGTGTCGACACTATCAAAGTAGTCGTCGACGTAATGACGGTTGATAACCGCCGCTGCTGCCTCCGGATATTGCCCAGCGTACTCTTGAGCGTTGAGGTTCTTCACATATTGGGCCGAACAGGGAGAGCTCGTCGATCCAAACGTGGCAACGTCCATGATGAACACGCGTGGAGGTCCCTTGGAATCTTTCCGAAAGAGGAAACGTTGTACTTGCCGATCCCGAGCGATGATCTTCATCTGGTGATACATTTCACGCAGATCGCCACCTACAGCAATTCTGTATTCCCGAAACCCAACAACCACAGTCACTAGCGGCACACGCATGTCAGGCCCTTTTAACAGCTGTGAATTCAGGGAGATACCTTGCACCGTTGCCGCAGCATCCCACACGAGGCGTACCTTACCTGGTTTTTTGGGGTTCAGTACCACGTTTAGTGGAAGGTACCATACCTTATCGGGTTCCGTTCCAACGAGCTCCTCCGGAGTAGCAAGGTGCGCATACCCCTTCTCCTGATACTCATCGATCTGCTTACAAACGTTCACGTGAAGTTCCGGATTCTTCTCTAGCTTCTTCTCTACTGCTTCAGCCTTCGCAACGCCATCGGGTAGCTATCCGGGAACCTTGGATCGTCCGTCTTCCACAGTAGCCCGGTCTCGAAGCGGTCACCGATTCGTCTCGTGGTCTTCTCGAGGATCTCGCGAGCTCTCTCGTCCTCAGCAGACTCCCGCGGTACGCCAACGACCGATTCTTCCAGTGCGTAGTGTGCCTTCAGCAGCTTATGAAGGTCTTCGTTTGTCACTACCTGGTGGATTCCAAGATACTCGCTGCTCGCTTCGACAGCGTTCGCTTGCTTCGGTCCATAGACCGTCCATCCGAGCTTGCACCGCACGGCTATCGGATCAATAACTGCGCCGAGCTTTGCTTCAATCGGGGCGAACGAGTGGATGTTGTTCAACCCGATGAGTATTTCCGGCCGTCCGTCATACGAGGAGATGGGCAATCCTCGCATATGCTTATACTGCCACAAAAAAAAAAGAGGCTGCTACAAAAATTTTGGTTTGGTATCCGAACAGCTATAATTTACGGTAATTCAACTCTTATCCTAAGAAAATTAAAAAAAGATGCTGTGTGCTCGAATCAATTATTTACAACTAATAAAAATACAACTTATCATTAGAAATTCAACATCAACAAAACATTATTCAATAAATGTCAATTCTGAGTGGGCCGTGCCTTTTGAAAGTTGGGCGCCAATGTAAGGGGAGATCCTGCTAGGGTTCTCAAAATTCCGGCTTATGCGTCAGACGAAGAAGTCTTGTCCGAGTCCGAGAATTACAGATATATTTGCCCAATTAACAGTTTTTCTCAACCCAGCAGAATCCACCAATATCAGTCTTTCCCAACAACCAAACATCTGCCCAATTCCCAAGTCCAAAATCTTTAATCCGTTCAATGGAATTTCCCAATTCAGTAAGCGTAGTAAGCCTTCCAATTTGGTTGCTTAACGAGTGAATACGGTGCGTGAATAAATTTATTAAAATCAAGCTATATATTTAAGGAGAGAAAATAAATTGTAAATTTGATGTAAATTTTCCAGATTTCATTTTGATTTTGTTGTTGTTTATTGACGTAGGACTACGTCTGTGATTTCTATATGGAGGTACACTTTGTGAAAACCGAAAATGGAACATGTATCAAAATTATGAAAGATTTTAAACGTAAATAACTCAGCTGCTCCTGAACCAATTTAAATAACTTTATCATCAATCGATCAGAAATATTCCTACGCATTTGTTTGCTTCAATACTTTATCATTTTTTTTTTTCAAGATGTCACTATTGAAAATTGCACCAATGTGCAACTGTTGCTATCATAATTAAAATTATCACCGATTGCCTGCGAAAAGCGCTTACGCTAACACAGATTTCAAAGCTGAATTCCATCCGGTCTCACCAAACGGTGTTAATTCAAACACCGCGTAGTCAGTGGTGGTGTTCTCCAGTGCACAACGAAAGGCTGCCTGCAAGCAGCGAACTGCAGCACATGAGCATCCATAGAAGGAGGAAAGCCGCCCGCTATTGATCGGAATTAGTAGCTATTCGTGAGTCGCTGTGGGCCATCTATGTCAAGTGCGTCATACTAAAGAGTATAAACAGAGAGAACCCCGCTCAAATTCCTATTCCTACACAAAACACAAGCTCCTGCTGCAGTTAACAAATAAGATTTATTATATAAGACTACTTACGGTTTTTTTTTCTGCTTGCTACCTGGTCCGAACCTCACACGCTCTTGGTGGGTGGTTCGTCTTTCCGATGACGGTTGATGACGATAGCTCTCGACCGTGCAGGGAAAACCAGCCTTTGCCTAACCGGCTCGTTGTGTACGCTACGTGGACAGCCCCGTGTAGGGTGGCGTCGGCTAGAGGTTTTAGCTGGAGCCAAGATATATGACCAGTTGGGGACCCACGCTCGATGGATACTGACGTTCGGATGGCTATCGCTGGCCGGATGGCTACCGAAGCTCGATGGATACTGACGCTCGGATAGCGTCGTTCGGATGTCTAGCGACGCTCGGTGGATACCGGCGGGGGCCGTTAGAACCGTGCTGAACTAGGCTGCTTTCGGTGAGTGACGTTGACAGGGTGGTAATCGGCCTCCGATTTTTATCAAGCTGGCGTTGGGACTTTGAGGACTTTACCACGATTCAGGCAGTCACTTTTGGCGCGTGACGCACGTGGGCCGAGTTCTCCTTCCGATGACCAACGCTCTCCGAATGCCTTATAGTGTTATGCTTCTGTTACTCTTGTTTAGATTGGAACCAATGTTTACTCCCCAGCATTATTCCTGAAAGTAGTCTAACTGAGAATTTAAGAAGAGACGTGAGTGCCCAGCACAGAAGGTTAGTATAACATGAGTCTAACGTTAGTCTAACACGTTAGACCATTAGACTAACATTTGGTCTAACGTTCGTCTAATATTAGACTGATATGACACAATCTGTTAGACGTTACAGCTCTCGTTTCGAGCTCGTATGTTATTTAGTCTAACGTGAGACTAACGTTAGGCATTTTTTTGTATGGCTGGTTAGACGTCGTTTGACCAGCTCTGTGGGGGAATTTATGCTCGTTTATTTACACTCTGTCATCCGAGCACGAAGTTTGACACTTCGCTCTCGAGCGATGCAGAGTGTAAATAAACAAGCAGCAAAGTTATATTCCGATACTAATTTTGGTAAAAACAATTTGTATTCAAATCTTTTGAATACCTATTAACAGTTTTTATTATAAACAGGAACCTGCATTCAACCAAGCTCCAAACCTCGGCCAAAATCCACTCCGGCGATTGGGAAGTTCCTTCTGTTATTGAAGAACTTTTGTTGGCTCGTCTAGCATTTAAATACAGGATGCTGTCAATTAAAAATGCCTTGAACTTCTTGTTGGAAAGGGCAATAAATTCTCGCTGGAAATTTCAGGAGCTTCCTGCAGAAAGTTGCAATAACTTCCCGTAGGACGGTGCATAAACTTCCCTCAGGAAATTGCAAGAGCTTCCTGCAGGAAGTTGAAAAAATGTTCCATAGGAAGTTGCAAAAATTTCTCGTAAGAAGTTGCAAGAACTTCCCGTAGGAACTTGGAAGAGCTTAACGTAGGTTCTAGGAACATCTTACGAGAATCTCTTGGAACATGCTACGGGATGTTCTTAGAACATCCTAGGGGAAGTTAGAGGAACTTTCTATGAGAATCTATATAGGGGAATTTACGAATTATCGGCAATCTAAGCAGTTTCCGCACTTCTATTGGCATTTCCTCAGTGTCGCGCACACATATGACGTGTCTGTTTGTTTACATTTATCTGCTGCTAGCTGCTCTATCCATTCTAATCGACAGAACTGTCCAGAACGGTTTAAAAACGTTTTTAAGGCGCTCCAAACTTCTCAGGTGAGTGTGGCTATTGCCGGCAGCCTCTTTTACTTCGGCAACCTTTCCGTTTAAACTGTGTTTTAACCAGCTGTCCTATTATCGGCAAATCGAAATCAGCCGTATTTTCATGTGCTTATGTTTCATTTGAAGAAACACCTGACATAACTGGTTTTATCAGTCGTAAAAATGTATTAGGATTGAACCTGAAAGACTAAGGAATCGTTCAAATACATTCAGCGAAGTGTTTTAGTGTGAAAATACAGCAAAATTAATGTTTAAATTGTGGTTGCCGAAAACAGTCGATGGCTGCCGAAGCCATCATTTACACTATATATAAAATGAATTTCTGACCCTTATAGACTCGGCGCGGTAACCATAGCACGGTGATAGAGGAAATGCTTCGCCAACCCGAGCGTCTGTTCACCATGGAGGTGCGGCTCAAACAGCGTCTGACTGGCATCCAGCGGCTGAATAAGAAATGCTCTTCCCCGGAAGCTACACCTAAGATGGCAACCCCATCACGGCGGATAGGACACCTTAGGCCAACCACCTACTATCTTTGAAACCTTTACAATTGTTACAGAAATCAACAGAGAAAGACATCGAACTGATTTAACGGCAACGACTTTTAGCACAAAACAACGGACATGAATTGGAACACGAAATGTATTGACGTTAGCCCAGCAGGGTAAACTGGCACAACTCGCCAACGAGGCGCGACGCATGAAGACTGAGTGAAGTTCGTTGGCCTTTGGAGAACACAAACTGCCGTCGGGACAGATACT